GTTAATGATTGGCATAACAATATGTTCAGTAATATTATACTGTAATTCATTTACATCTTTCCTGCTCAAATTTTTCTTACTGTATAAATTCATAGTAAAGCTTAGAAAATCTTCTCTTAACCTACTTCTTATATCTAAAATGTCTTCTTCTCTACAACTAGCTTTCTCAAGTTTTTCGATACTGCTACCCGTATCATTAAGAGTATCTTCAGTTGTTTCTCTTTGAAAACAACGTTCCTCTGGAATCGTGCTGGATTCGTTGTTATGGATTTCCTCGTGTGTTTCAATTGGTGTGCTGGGGCTTTCAAATAAGGCAGAATGTCGAAATTTGACATGCCGTTTGAACCGGTAGATATCCTTGAAGTGAGCGGCTGGTTTGCATGCTGTACACTTGAAATTAGAAATGGAAGGAGCCCCATGCTCTATCCGAATGTGGTGTAATAGGATATCGATTGCAGGAAACGAGTTATGGCACAGATGACAATCCGTTATCTCCAGTTTCCAGATAGGTGATCAATTGTAGAAGTTGATTGTTTTTCGATTTTCTTTTGTAGTCGATATTGTAAAAGAATCTGGTCACGAAGCACCAGAATAACTCACAGCTCTCAGGAAATTGGTAGTTCAGCACGTACTTCAGCTTAACAATGACATCCAGGCAACGAAGAAACGTTGGAAGTTTGTACTCAATCTTTCCTGTCACATCGTAGAATCCTTCAATTTCGTCGAAACTTCCAACAATGAAGATACGAGGTGGGAGTTGAAGTTTTGCTGTCTCAAACTCTCGACGTAGTGAACGCCACTCACTTACGTATTCCTCGTGGGTTGCGCATATACAACAGACATCAGTTTGCGCCTGCAATATTGTGGGAAATTTACGTGTGGAAGTCCGTGTTGGTTTGATGAGTGCTTGGAATACCATACATACGATAAAATCCCGGCCGTCTATAATGAAACAATATTATTAGTTATTTTCGTCCTATGTACGTTGCTAAGTTACTTCATACCTTGAACAATAGCGGATTCGTCCAGTGCAGTTAGTAATTGTCTTGAAAAATCATCTTTGATGTCGTTGTTTCGAACGTAGTCAAGGAATTTTTGTGAAAAAATCCCAGTTGTTGAATAACTTATCTGGATTACCAAACAGTTCAGCAAAATCCGAATCGATCTGTAGACATATAATAAGACAAGGTATACTACCTCGCGAATACAACACATATTTGTTATGAGACAGGTAACAAAATAATGTAATTTAAAACTGGTACAGTATAATTTTCCTTACCAACAAGTACCCAGTATCGTCCAGGATTCTTGGCCACTCGCTAAGCACACCACCTTTGTCGACATCAATCTCATTTAAAATTGATCGTAGTCGCAATGAAATTGTTTCATTCCACTTCTATTGAACTTCTTCTGCTGGGGCAGAATTGTTACGAAGCCAGTTTTTTACTGAAGTAAGCTTTTCGATTTCTGTAATTTAAAATATCAAGTGTTTAAGATTTTGCTGATATTACTAAAATCTTTTAAACCCGAAACAAACATGTGAAATGGGAAATCGGCATTTGAAGCGGATGTCTACATGTGGCTCATTGGCCCTTTTCACTTGCTTGTCGAGAAATACGGTTTACTTACCATCGTGGGAAAATTTCAGAGCTACCGATTTTGCATAAAAAAAAACGTTGTTTCCTTGTCACTTGATGATCTGGATTGGACGAACTTCTTCTTGTTCCGATTGTGGAAACGGTCATAAATTAAACCAGTAGGCTGTTTCTTATGTACCTTCACGTCTCTGGGATTAAAGTACGTTTCCTGCACGAAAGATGAAAAAACGTATAAGAAGTGTGTTGAAATGGTTGGAGCAACGAAGTTAATTTACGATTAGCTCGTTTGGAAATCTTTCCGCAATTAGCTGAGCAAATTTTGACATATCCGGAAGAGGAAAATATAAGTCGTTGGCTATATAATAGTCGACGACCGTATGGGCCAAGTATTTCCGGTGAGCAGCATCGAGCTTCTTATTCTGTAAAAAATGTTTCACGACAATTTTTCCTTTTTCGTTCCGCTTGAGGATGTCATCCAGTAACGCAGCTGTCACGGAGGTGGGAAGCAACCGATGCTTGAGTGGATTCTGTTTGCATAGCACCGTAACTGGAGGAGCTGTAACTTCGGTCGGAATAGAATTGATGGTTTTCGATGTTGTTGCTGTTTGATATACTTTCCGGCCACGAAACTAATTTTTTCCGCAGCGCATATTTGTGACCAGTCCATCTCGCTACCGAAAAAATATCATCCAAGGCTCTGTCTTCCACTAGCTTGAGATATTGGACACAAATTTCATGCTCTAAATTAAGATTTTGCACATTCAATATAGTATTATTTGTTCACACATATTCATACTTACGGACAAGGATAGCATAAATGGCCGGATCAAGTTTCCATTCAGAAATGATTTCTTCCAGTTCCGGAATGTGATCTCTTTCTGCAAAGAAAAAAAAAGCATCGCGTATATCCCAATCGGAAACGTTTTAGATTAACGCTTTACCGTCAATATTGTTTGGGTCATCCAGTCTGTTATCCACGATAATACTAATTTCCTCGATCGGATTATCATTTATCATTATGAAACACTTTTAATTTTCCACAAAAACAAGCAAAACTGAAAAAAAATCTCAACCACGCGCGGAGCTCTTCGGAATAAATTTGATGCTATCAAAATGGCGAAGTGCAAGTTTTCGATGTACACTGAAAATTACTATGCAGATGGTAATCCTAACATAAAATGTAGTTGGTAAAAAATTGTCGGTGACATGTTTTTATTTTAACTGCTTGTATGGTAAAATGAGATGTTGGATGAAAATTGTGCATCCACTATGTTTAGATAATGTTGTTGAAGTTACCATATCAATAGTAATTTGACCATAATAATTTATTTGTGAGGACTACAAAAAATGCTGAAATCTACTATGACATTTTTGCTATTGGCTTAAGATTTTCTACTATAATACGATTATAATAACAGTATGGTCAGTGGATTTTACCATTATATGGCATGGTAGAAATAAACGCTGGATTTAAGAACAATTTACTACATAATTAATTTCAGGGTACTGTGTTACCCGAGGTGTTACCTGACTTATAACGAATATACGTTCTATACGAGTACTCCGAATACAACGTGTGACTCGTCTAATTTTGCATAGCATTTGCAATGTAAAATTAAACGAACTATAAGTTGTATTCGGGGTACTCGTATAGAACGAATATTTGTTATAAGTCAGGTAGCACATGCAAAGGCCTCAAATTCCAATATCAATCTGAGTAAGAAATTAACCAGTAATAGACCCCCATACGGTAGGAGAAAATACACAACTTAACAGCAACAGCGACAATGTCGCACATTTCAGGGTCAGTTGTTTATAAAAAGTTGCTACCGCGTCGTCAGCGATGCGCATTTTGTACTCTCAATAAATTTATCACATATCTAATGGATGAAATCCATGTGAATTTCACATAGCTTTCCTGTGATCACATAGCTGCAAATCCCACCACAAAATCACATGAACATTATGAGGCTGATGAAATGCATATGAAAAATCATATAACATTAATTTGATCGCATAAATGTTATGTGAAATTCAGATGAATTCAGTTAATTTTGATTAATGATGAAAATCATGTGCGTTTCCAATGGAAGCTACATGAAAATTATTTTCGGCGTATGGCAAGGGTAACTCTACATGATGATGGACACATTTATGAGTTTAATAGTAAAAAAACGAAAGCTCCCTAAATAAATGGAAAAGCGTATTTGTTAAATACATCCTGGAATTAATTTCCTATTCCGAATATTTTCTGGCTTCCTCTGGATGTTATACGTTTTTTTTCCGAAAGTTTCTTTACATTTTCGACAGAAGTTTCTCAAAACTTATCTTGAAAGTTCCTCGGATGTTTTTCCGAATTTTCTTATAACTTTCTTCAAACTTCCTTTATTCTTTCTCTAAAAGTTTTTTCGGCTTCTTTCAGAAGCAAACTTGTTGTTTTTAATGTGAAGTTTTATTCGTCCGTTCATTACACAACCTTTTTTTTTCCCTCCAGAAGCTAATTCAAACATTCCCTGAAAATTTCTTCCGACTTCTCCTGGAATGCAACTTTTCAGTTTTTAGTCCAAAAGTTTGAATTTACGCCTTTTTGTAAACATTTTAGGTGTTACATTTGAAAACGGCACAAAAGCTTTTGTTAACAAAAGTTATAAGGCCTTTTACACGTGAACCAAAGTACGCCCACGCAAACCAACAACACCACCGAGTTGGGTAAATTATCCCCTCCCCGATAGTGGTATTGGTTTACGTGGGTGTACTTCGGTTCATGAGTAAATGGCCTTACAAGTTTTGTCTACAAAAGCATTTGTGCTGTTTTCAAATGTTATGTCTGAATTTGATGTCCCCGCGGAGGAAAAACGCATTCCTTGCGCAAAACGCAAAGCTTGACATCTTTGGCTGGTTGTCAAAAACAGAAACGTTCGCGACTGTCAATGACGTTTATTAAAAAGGACACTGCGCGGCTGTCACTGTCAAATCGGGAAATCGTAATGCAGTTGTGTGCGTGCAACAATTGCACACCAACGAAGGTAAGCTCCAAGTTGGATAAACTTCCATCACCAGCCTTACACTTAAAGTCTGCCAAATGTTCAGTTGACATCAGTTCAATTTAGACCGACGTCAGTCAAACGTTTAACAGTCAGTGTAAGATGGGCTGTTAGCAAGTCAAAAACTGTGAAGCAAACCACAACACCTGCGACTGTGTGTGTGCCGAAATTCCTCTCCCTCGTCGCTCTCAAACTTCAGTCGATCTCTTTCGCACCCACGGGCAGCAAATGCGCCGCGAGAATCCAAACTAGCTGACCGAAATCGAGTCTCGGAGTCGGCCGTTCAGTTTCCATCCCGTGTTGCGGTAGTGTGCCTTCGACGACGTGCGCTGCTGTTGCTGCTGTGTGGTAACACGCACATTCATACAGGGCAGTGCGATTTTTCCTCATTCGTTTTTCAAAAATGGCCGAGTAGGTAGTGTCGAGCGAGTGCTCATCATCGCAGTTCAATATCCAAGCAAGAAGAGTGCACTTTTAGCCAGTTTCCCGTTTCCCTAGCTAGTGTGGTGGAAGTTTTTCACTGATTTTTGGACTTTTCCAAAAGTTTGAGGTAGTATTTTTCCCGACGGAAGTTGCCTGTTCGTGTGCCTGTTGGCCGTGTGTGCCGAAGAGAAAGAAAAAAAAAAGATCCGTTCGAAGAAGTTTAGTGCTGAAGAGCCAAGGGGCGAAGGAAAAAAAAAAAGTTCAGCGAGGAAAAAAGGAAGTCAAAAAATTTTGTGACCCCGCAATCGTTACTATAGTAGTTTTATCGCGAAGCAGAGTTTTTATTGAGGAAAAGATTTTTCCTTTCGATCAAAACCTACTTGAGGGTAGGTAGGTAATACAACACAGAAGTGGCCTGTCCCCGAATCGAGAGCCATCAGAGAAGTAGTTATATAGCAACCCACCGTCGTAGTTAAGGGGGGCCCCGTTAAAGCGGAGAAGAAGAAGTCGAACGAAGAAAGGCATTATAGCGAGGAAAAAAAAGTGAAAAGCATTCAACCTAGAAGAGAATCTACTACGACGACGGGACGGTACGGTACGGTGGTGATCAGCAGACTTCCCTCGCCGCGTGTGAGAGTGTATGCTCGAGGCGGCGCTCGCCCGTGTGAAAGGAAAGAAAGAATAAGAGCAGTGATCCAAAGTAGTGCTCCGGAAGTGACCTCCCCCGAAACGAGAGAGACGGACGGTAGTCAGCGGAGCCAGCGAGGACCGGAAGTTCAGTTCCAGGACTGACGACTCCCAGCAACACTGGCCATTGCGCAGTGGGGAATTTGGACGGGACCAGGAGCTCTGAATAGTGTAAGTACTTTATATTATCTACCTGCTCGGGTTGGAACTTCTTTAGGGCATTAAGAAAATCCAGAATGAATCATAGAGGCACAGACGATGACGACGGGTCGATCTGTCTGCGGTTGGTGTGATGGAAGAGAGAAGTTGTGAAGGTACGACCAGGGCAGGGCGGTGAGGGTGGTGGCACGGGTAGAAATTTCGATGGTGTTCCGATTTGGGGCACTGCGAAGAAGAGTGCGGTACTCTTTCCATTTCGAGAAAACAACAGCAGCAGCAATATTATAGTCGAGTCGGTCGGTCGGTCGGTGTGTGGTTGGTGAGATTCGAATCTCGTCGACGGCCGTCATCGTCTCTCTGTCGTAGAGTAGCGTAGTGGCGTAGGATAGAGTAGTAGCATCAGCATCGGTATACTAATTCGCGAGAATTACGTCACATTTGTCACGGTTAAAAACATTCCATTCGGCCGGAATTACGCCCCTGTTTGGAATGTTCTTCGAATATTCGGAATCGAGAGGATCGGGAAAAAGTTCTCCGAGTTAGTGTGAAGGTTTTTCCCTTTGTTCGGTTTGAGCTGATTGTGTCGTTCCGGTGGGAGTGAAACTCTTGTCCAGGAGAACGATGATTTGGTATTTTTTTTATAGGTTGCTTCCGGAACCTTATCCGGCGTCAGGGGTAAACTTTTTCGAGGCATGCATTATCTTGAAAAATATGAACTAGCTGGAACAAGAACAAGTTGGAACGTTTTGCAGAATTGGTCATCAAATCAATTTTGATATTAAGTTGGAAACTATTCAAATAACTCTTAGGTACATCGGTTTTGCTACAAACGAAATAAGTGTTTTAAGCGAGAATCGAAAACAATGCACATTTACCCATGTTGCAAAAGTCGTGCAGCTAAGTTAAGGTAAATTCGAGTAACGTAACAATTTCTGATTGGTCGTTAGAGAAAGCTGGCCGTCATCCATAGTTGAAGAATCTTGATTAATTTTTCGTCACGATTGTTGGTTTGTCAGTTTTGGTATTTGAAATTAATGTCTTAATGATAGCCTAATCTGATAAGACACCGACAGTCGAGTTCCGATTCGATCTAGAACATCTTTCGGGTAATGTCCACAACTTCCTTTTTGGCTACTCGAGACTCGGGAAAAAGCTGATGTTCCGTTTTCCGGGACTGGATTTGAAATTTGGAAGCTCCGCGTGGAGAAGTACTTGAAGTCTGTCGAGCTATTGGATGCGATGACCAAGAACGCACCAACGGCTGCAGCTGAACTGGAATAGTTCCAGAAAATGGACAGCAAGACATCGAATGTAATAATTTCGTTTATTCACGATGAGCTTTTGGACCTGATCCGCGACAAGAATTCTGCCAAGGATGTGTTGGAGAACATCTACGCGAAGAAGTCGGTATCCTCGCAAACTCTCGTTCGGAAGCAGCTGGCAAGACTCAAGATGATGGACGGAACGTCGATCAAGGAACATCTCAAGATCTTTGATGAAATGGTCTCGCAGCCTTTTGTGACCCTGTCTGAATCCTATGATGCCCTGGTAACTGCGTTGGAGAATCTGGATCAAGACCAACTGATTCTAGATGTGGTTTGATGGCCGAAGAACTAGTGGATACTGGTAATGAGAAACCTGCTGCCTTCGCTGGATTCAAGTAGAAGCCTAAGAAATTCATGGGAAAGTGCCATAGGTGCCACAAGAAGGGCCATATGGCCAAGGATTGTCGGGTCAAGCTGCGAGCAGAAGCCAACGTCGTAGCTGAAACAAAGCTGTTGCATTCATGGTTGGTAAGAAGGGCCACTTCTTCATAAGTCTTCGGATGCCAGCCACAGCAAAGTTACTTTCAAGCTAGATTCCGGGGCTAGTCATCACTTGGTGAATGACGAGAAAGTTTTCGTTCTGCCCATTGAAAGGTAACTTCTACGAGCTGGACGTCTTCTATTCCAACGGTTCTGCAAATCTGTGTGCTACCCAAGACGACAATCTCTGGATCCATTCTGACCTTTGCGATCCGATCACGCCTGTTGTCTGGGATGGATCACAGTACATCGTCTCGTTTGTAGCTGATTTCACACATTTTGCAGTCGTTTACCTAACGAAGAAGTCTTCGAGAAGCAGCGTTGGGTCACACTGTGTCAAAGCTGAGTATTGACCAAGGCCGTGAAGATTGTCCCAACAAACAGAAGCGATACTACGACGAAAAAGGTATCCAAATCGAGCCCACGACAGCATATACACCTCAACAAAATGGGGTAGCAGAAAGGTTTAACCGGACGTTAATAGAGAAGGTTCGTACGATGCTGGTGGAGCCAAAGGTCCCGAAATCCATGTGGGGTGAAGCTGTGTTTGCTACAGTTTACTTAGTCAACCCGCGCAACCGCTGATAGGAAGACTTCTGCGGAGCTTTGACTGAAGGACTAACCCAATCTGGCAAAAACAAATGCGGAAACTAGGCAGGTATTTATCTCAAGAGACGTTAAATTCGAAGAAGCAATCGGAAGTGCCACTAACAGCTGTACCTTACGATCTGGAAGTTGAATCCAACGAAGAGCAACAAAATGAAGCAAGTTTGACGACTGCACAACAAGCCGAGCAAGAGGGGGAAAACCTGAATCTCTTGACAACGATAATGATGTGCAGCTTTCGGGACCGAAAGCGCTCCCTTCGCAACAAGAACTTTGTTCGAACCTTGATACGGCAACCATGAGGCACAGCAAACGGGAGCGCAGGATCCACGGTAAGTTGAAAGATATTTTCACCGGAAATTTGTTTACTTCTGTAGAATGTTCATCAACAGATGTCATTGAAGTCTTCGATATGAGCCAACCTGCTATCAATCAGTGAACGAACTGAAATGCCTGTGCTCCGATGTACCTGGAACCTACGACGAGATTTTTGGCCGCCCCGATGAACGTAACTGGTTTCAAGCTGTGAAAGTCGAGCTGAACTCCATGAACGAAAAAGACGTCAGGTGTCTGGTGGAACACCCAAGCAACGTTGTTCTTATCAAGATAAAGTGAGTGTTTCGCATCAAGGAGAATGAAGATGGCAAAAACGCGTCTAGTAGCGAAGGGCTTTCAACGGAGCCATGGATTGGACTACACTGAAACCTGGCTACGATTCGGAATGTCCTGGCTGTGGTTCACAGGAAAATGTATGTGCATCAATTGGACGTGAAGACTGTTTTTCTCTATGGGAATCTTCAAGTGGACGTGTACCTGTCTGTTCCTGCCGGGATTGATGCGCCGTCCAACCTGGTATGCAAATTGAAGAAATCTTTATATGGATTGAAGCAAAGCCCACGCTGTTGGAACAACAAGTTGAACGAAGTACTCTTGAAGGAAGAATTTTCACGTTCCAAACACGATTATTGCCTGTATGTCAAGACCACTAGGAAAGGTAATGTGTACGTTATTATATATGCTGATGATCTCCTAGTTGCTAGCGTCCGTTTGGATTCGGTTTTGGATGTTTCAAATGTCAGATTGCGGTGAAATCAACTACTTCCAGGGAATCAAGATTCGATACGACAGGATGACAGGAACTCTATCATTTCCCTATGAGACAGGAATCAACCGTGTACTGACCAAGTTTGGAATGGTTAACTGCAATTTCGTCAAAACGCCGCTGGAGAAGGGTTGTCTGCTGCAAGTTCAAGATATAATTCAGTTAGCCATTCCAAACTTGGTTACTGGAAAGTATCATGTACACAATGCTATGTGTTCGTCCGGATATCAGCTACCCGATAGGACACCAAGGTAGAACCCAGGAGATTCCCATTGGAAAACTTTGAAGAGAATCGCATGCTACTTAAAAGGACTAACGACTTGAAGCTCCTATATACCAAGAAGGATAATTCAACTGCTCTGGTGAAATTTTCCGACGCGGATTCGGCTTCAGATGCTGTAGACAGGAAATCTGTATACGGATTCGTATTTCAAGTTTTTGGCAGTACTGAATACGGTGCGCTAAGCATGGTTGTGTCTGAAGGTATATGGCTGAAAGGAATTCTCATGGACCTACAGGTTACGGCATCGGATCAGTCTTTCACGACCTTCGAACGCAGAATGTAGAAGAGCGAAACACATCGACTTCAAGCATCACATCCTGCGGGATCACGTCGACAAGGGAACACGTTATAAGTCAGGTAACACAGTAGTCCTATCCTATCATAAAGTTTGTCGTATTGTTAATTTCATTGAAACCTCCTCCCACTTCCCGTAGAACTATTACCATAATAGCCTATTCAGAACAAGCATTGAGGTTCTCATAGGTTCTCAGTTCTCCATACAATTGTCCTGAAACGCTGTTCAAAATCCTCCCCTGAATCCCTTTAGAATGATCCCTGGGATTCTATTCTTCGAAAAATTAGTAGTTGGTTTTGCCACTTCACTCTGACATGGAGCTAGCTTTTTCTAAGTGAAATGTTCTTAATATCAAGACTTTTCGGATGAATCCCTAGTAGGTAAAATACGTCTGTCTTCCTTACTGTCTACAAATCAAAAGAGACAGGACAAGAACTTTATTCTAACTTCAAGCCTGCGTATAACAGTTTGGTCGCCCAATAGCAAAACGGGTTTCACTCGGATGGTCGAACACTACACTAAGGTCTTAAGGTTATTTAGTTCGACGGCACAAAGTTGAACAAGTTTCTGAATATTGTCCGCACTAGCCCGAACTTGTTTTGGATGCGCAACGAGTGTGTGAAGCTGATGAAATGTGCTCGGTTCAAAACTGCTGTTTCGTCGCTTGGTTGTGCGATTAATGCTATCACCGAGAAACAGGAAATCCCACACGATGAGCTTAGGAAGGAAATGGCTAAGCAAGGACAGCAGATCGCTCAGCTATCCAAACGAATCGCATTGACAACTCCAACACACTTGGGTTCCGGCAATCTTTATCCATGCGTCAACCGCCGTTAAAACGACGCTGCGATGAAGGTTCGCTCGCCAGCAAACCACTTGTTGGTGGTACTAAAGCAGTCACAGATGACAATGTCTTTACCG